AACTCCCATTTTGTATTTGATTCCCCATAATTTAATCCCACCCCTCTCCCGAACACCCTAGCATTTACTTCTTTTACAACTCCATCTATAAATATGTTAAACAACTATGGTGACATAGCATATCCCTATGTAAGACCTACTTTTAAAAACTCTTTACAGCATTTAGTAACGTTCTACCTATTCTATACATTTGAAACATCTACCAAATTGTTCCCTTATCCACTCTATCATATGCATTTTCTAAATCTATAAATGCAATGAAAAGTTTCCTACCTTTATCTAAATACAATTCACATATTTGTTTCAATGTAAACACCTGATCTACACATCCCCTACTCATTCTAAAGCCTCCTTGCTCATCTGCAGTCCTACTCACTGTCTTACCTCTAATTCTTTCATAATAACCCTGAACAGTAAAAAGGACACAAGGGCAACAATGATACATTTATTGTGGCAACGTTTCGGCTCTCCAGGAGTTTTTTTTTTTCTTTATCAAGCATTACAAACAAGACATGACACAGAGGGTAATATAAAGGCTCAGAGTGAGGTGAATACTAGTGAGGTACCATTTCGCTGTTCCACTAGTGGTAGTGGTAGTGACAAAGTTAATACAATAAGGTAGAGCATTAATTCGTACATTAGTAAAAGGATATAAAGCTTTACTTGGGTAAAAAAAAAATCAGAGCTGGACAAATATTAAACTGGAATGAGCAGCTTGTATCAGTGAACACGTTAGATCTCTTTCTTATGTGAGTAAAACAGAGAGACAAGTGATGCAGGTTTTACTGTTTCCAGGAGGATTCTGCCTAAGACTTTCGGAGATGGTGAAGCTGGCCGTTGTTTTGTTTAATTGTATTCGAAACAGCGATCAGTGCTGATTCAAGGCACTTACGTGTGCGGAAATTAGTTTTCTTTACCACTAATTGGCGTCTCTTGAATTTCATAGATGAATGTGAATTTCGGTGTTGAACAGGCGTGTTTAAGTTGTCGTTCTACTGCGTGTATATTGTTCATTGATGCGGGTGTCGAGGTTTCATGCTGTTTCACCTACGTAGATCTTGTCACAGCCTCCACAGGTTATAGTGTAAACTCCAGCATTGACTGTTCGTGTTGATTAGGGTTTTGTCCTGGTTAGATCCTTAAATTGAAGGGGTAGAAGCGATGGGCGAACTCTGGTGTTATCTTTGAAAGTACTTTTGAGACGTATTTTAGTGCAACCTGTCTTTGGGAAGAATTAATAACTTTGTTGGGAGGCGGTTGTTGATGCGTGATAAATTGATGATCTGAAGAGACTTTCTTGCAGTCTATGATGAAAAAAGAAAGGAAATTGTAACTCAGTGAATGTTTGGTGAATGTAAGTACATTCTCCGTCAAGAAACTCATGACACAATTCGGTATGCACTTATGAAAAACCTCGATGAGAATCCTCTTTTGTCATGGTATCATGAACTGAATAGAAGTGTGTGAGATCATTTTATTGGAGGGTTTCCGATAAAACTTGAAATCTTAGTTGTTGTCCTACTTTGTGAATGAGGACGTCCGAAGGAAGGTAGCTTGTCATTGGACTCTCTTCTAGTGTAAACTGAATCGCTGGTTCAAACCTGCGTTGACTTGCCTGAAGATCCCGTACATCAAAACGTTTTTTGGAGTTAATTAACGAAGGACATCGCCCAACGTAACGTAACCAAGTGACGCTTGAAGGGATGATGTTTTGCGAAGTGTTCGGACTCTAGTGTTCCAAGTATAATTGGCTAGGACGGCACTTATTGGGGACCCCCTTCCAATGCCGTAGGTTTTTGTTTGTAGAGCTGATTATTGAAGGAAAACAGTAGAAGTTACCACAGAGTTCAATCAGAAGTCAACAAAAACACCGGGAGGTAAAGGGAAGATTAAGGTCCTTGGTTTGACTTTTACTTCGTAGAACCTCGATGGCAACCCTAACCCAGCAACCCTAACCCAGCCCACATTATTGTTTACCCAAGACCCATAAACACAATAATCCTCCAGACCAATCACGTCAGGAATAGGCAAGTGCTCCACACAAACTAGCCGATTTCTTGCTAACAACTTCAGCCTTCTGGGACCATCAGCCCCCGCTCATCTTAAACAACTCAGGCGACCTACTCACTCGCATCCGTAACTCTCCACCGTAACAAGAAATTATGCAGTTGGAGTGACTTCCTCTCACAAAAGTACCTACCAAAAAAGCCATCGAGGTTCTACGACGTAAAGTCAACCAGGAACCTTAATTTGCCCCCTTTACCTCCCGGAGATTTTTTGACTTGATGAAACTCAGTGTTAACTTCCAACTGTTTTTCCTTCATAACAATGCTCTACAAACAAACCTATCGGCATGAGGAATGGGGTCCGCCAATAAGTGCCGTCTAGCACCAACTTATACATGGAACACCTAGGTCCGAACCTTCGCCAACAACAACCCTTCACAAGCGTCACATGGTACGTAACGTGGACGATTGTCCCTCGTAATAACTCCAAAACGTTTGATGTACGGGATCTTTCAGGCAAGGCTCAACGCAGTTTGAACAGCGAATCAGTTACCCTAAAGAAGAGTCCAATGACAAGCTACCTTCCTCGACGTCCTCATTCACAAAGTAGACAACAACCTAAGATTTCAAGTTTATCGAAAACATCCACCAATAAATAATGAACTCACACACTTCTATTCCAGTCAAGATACCAAGACAAAAGAGGCATCATATCGTGGTTTTTCCTAAGAGCATACCCGAAAATTGTAGTCCTGATTCTTGACGAAGAATGTACTTACAATCACAAACATCCCACTGCGTTACAATTTTCCTTCTTTTTTCGATCAAAGACTGCAAGAAGAAGAGCTCTTCAGATCATCCATTCTCCACGCATCAACCCGCTCCAACAAAGTTATAATTCTTCCCAACAGTCCAGGTTGCACTAAACGTCTCAAAAGTACTTTCACAAGCTAACACCAGAGTCGCCATCTTCTTCTACCACTTCAATAAAGGATCTAACAAGGAAAATAACCCAATCACCACGAACCATCAATGCAGAGTTTACACTATACCCTGTGGAGGCTGTGACAAGATCTACCTTAGGTGAAACAGCAGAAACCTCGACACCCGCCTCAAATTGAACACATATACGCATGTAGGAACGACAACTTAAACAACGCCTGTGTACAACACCGAAATCCACCAATCAATCTTATGAAAATTCAGAGACGCCCAATTATTGAAAAAAGAAACTTATTTCCGCACACGCAGTGCCTGACTCAGCACTGATCGCTGTTTCGAATACCACTTAAACAAAACAACGGCAGCTTCCACCATCTCGAATTCTTAGCAAGAATCCTCCTGAAAACATAAACCCTGCCATCACATAGTCTCTCCTGTTTTTACTACACAAAGCACAGAGAGTGAACACTGAAACAAGCTGCTTCATTCCATTTTATATGTTGTCGAGCCTATTTGTTTATGTTTACCCAAGTAAAAGCTATTTTATATCCTTTTACTCATGTACAATTAATTGCTCTACAATATAGTATTACTTTTGTCACTACCACTACCACTAGTGAACAACAAAATGGTACATCACTAGTATTCACCTCACCTAGCATTTATATACCCTCTGTGTCCATGTATTGTTTGTAATGGCTTGATAAAGCTCCTGGAGAGCGAAACGTTGCCACAATAAATTTCACATTAGTTGCACTTGTGACCTTTTTAACTTTTACATATTGTCGTTAATTCTACCGTACTTTATTACAATAATAACCCTAACATACACTTTACCCTGATATACTCAGTAAACATATTCCCCAAAAATTCTTACAGTCCTTTGTCCCCTTCCCTTTATATAAAGCACTACATGCTCTCTGCTTTATGGTGTTTGCTTTTCCATTGTATCTGTATTTTTTATACTATTTTATACCACCATTTCTGTCAAGATCCCGTCATTTCCATCTTTTTAAATCTCGTTTCATTCTACGTAATGCCTCACGCACCTCCCCACACTCACATCCCTCTTCTTCACTCTATAAGATGTTAACTCCCTGACCAGTGCATAAAAATGCCGTTTCCCTTCTTTAATCGCAATTTAAAAGTTCCTTAAAATATTCCCGCTATCTACCCAATATCTTCAGCTCCCCATCTACTGACTCCTTATAACTACATTTTTAACTTGACAATCCATTCGTTACTTTGCTTTCTTAATGTAAAAAATTATATTTTGTACCAGAAGAATCTTAGAAAACTTACCCAATCTTATATAATAAGAACAATTTATTTTACCTAACAACTAAATATATTTTTAGATACGTTTACAATAATTTAAATAAAAAATAAACCAATGAAACATTATTTTTTCGTTAGGCTCAGAATGAATTTTTGCGAATTTATGCTAAAAAATTTTTCGCTGTCTTATATAGCAAGGACGAGCGTTACTATTTAAGCACATAACGCAAGTTCTGACTATTCGGCACGACATATAAATATATATATATAAAATATCTATATTATAATTATATAATAATATATATATATATATATATATATATATATTAAATATAATCATTAAACAACACTTCTGAAAGAATAGAGAAATTCCCAGCGCTTTCTATGACTATATCTCACATTATCAAGGAACTATATAGTTCCTTGATAATGTGATAGTCACGAAAGCGCTTGGAATTTCACTATTCTTTCAGAGGTGGATGTTTGCATATTCGAATATATACACCTGTTTACTGTGATCTTATTGCATATACATAATAGATATATATATTAAAAATATATATATATTTACATATTATATATCTATATATATATATATATATATATATAATATATATTTACTCTCGAAAAATACCATTATGCCCTGGCCTCAATGAACTTCTCATTAACTGTTCTTTTCTTCTTCTGCTGCTGCAGCCGCAGCTGGAGGCGCAGAGAGGGACGCAGGAGGAGACGCAGACGTGACCCACCAGTAGAAAAAAAAAATCAGCAGAGAGGACTCTGCAGGTGACACCGCTGGTTGCCGCAGCCGCTAGCGGCACCAGCCGCAGCTTCTACCTCGATGCTACGAGTCCACTCCATCTCTTACACGAAGAGAGCTTCGTGTAGGACTGTTTTGTTGTCAGTCCACCACCATGATGGTGTGTCATCCCTCCGCCATGATGGTGGTGTATCGGTCCTCCACCATGATGGTGTGTCAGTCCTCCGCCATGATGGTGTGTCAGTTCTCCACCATGATGGTGTGTTGGTCCTCCACCATGATGGTGTGTTGGTCCACCACCATGATGGTGTGTTGGTCCTCCACCATGATGGTGGTGTATCGGTCCTCCACCATGATGGTGTGTCAGTCCTCCACCATGATGGTGTGTCAGTCCTCCACCATGATGGTGTCAGTCCTCCACCATGACAGTGTGTCAGTCCACCACCATGATGGTGTGTCAGTTCACTACCATGAGGGTGGTGTGTCAGTCCTCCACCAGGATGGTGGACAGTCCTCCACCAAATAGTATGTCAGTCCTCCACCAAGATGTGGTGTCAGTACCATACACCATGATGGTGTGTCGGTACTCCACCATCATGGCGTGTCGGTCCTCCACCATGTTAAAGTCAGTCCTCCACCATGATGGTGTGTCAGTCCTCTCCAACTTGATGGTGTATCGGTACTCCACCATGAATGGCGTGTCGGTCCTCCACCATGATAGTATGTCAGTCCTCCACCATGATGGTGGTGTATCGGCACTCCACCATGATGGGGTGTATCGGCCCTCCCATGATGGTGTGTCAGTCCTCCCCGTGAATCACGTGAGTGCCAGTCCTCCGCCATTATGTGTGTCATTCCTCCTCCATGAAGGTGTCAGTCCTCTACCATGACTGTGCGCAGACCTCCACCATGAGTGGGTGTCAGTCCCTCCACCATGATGGTGTGTCAGTCCTCCAACTTGATGGGGTGTGTCAGTCCACCATCATGATGCAGGTGTCAGTCCACTACCATGATTAGTGGTGTGTCATTCCTCCACCATGATGGTGTCAGTCATCCACCATGAATAGTGTGTCAACCCACCACCATGATGTGTTCTCAGTTCACTACCATGATGGAATGGTGTCAGTCCTCCCCCAGGAACGGTGTCAGTCCTCCACATGATGTGTGTCGGTCCCTCCACCATGATGGTGTGTCAGTTCACCACTCTGATTGTGAGTCAGTCCACCACCATGATATGTGTCAGTCCTCCATCCATGTATTGCTGTAATCCCCCACCCACAATGGTGTCATTCACTACCAATATGGTTGTGACAGTCCTCCACCATGATGTGTTGTCAGTCCTCCACCATAATGAATGTGTCCAGACTTGCACCATGATGGAGTGAAAGTTTCTCCACCATGATGGTGGTGTGTCCAGTCCTCCACCATGATGGGTGTGTCCCAGTCGTGCACCATGATTGGTTGTCAGTCCTTCTCAGACACACACAGCTCTCCAACACTAACAAACACAACACGGAGGACAAGAACCTCTCCACACTAACAAACACACAACACGAGGCACTAACTCTCAACACAACCAAACACAACACGGAGGCCATGAACCCTCTCCATCACTAACAAAAACACAACACGAGGCCACTGAACTCTCCAACACTAATAAAACACAACACGGAGTCCACTGAACCTCTCCAACACTAACAAAACACAACACGGAGCCACTAACCTCTCAACACTAAGGTTGTCTCGTGCAGCGAACGGGTTGTCTCGTGACAGCGAGCGGGGCATGTCTCGTGACAGCGAGCGAGTATGTTCGTGACAGCGAGCGAGGTATGTCTCGTGACAGCGAGCGAGGCATGTCTCGTGACAGCGAACGAGGCATGTCTCGTGACAGCAAGGGAGGTATGTCTCGTGACAGCGAGCGAGGCATGTCTCGGGGACAGCGAGCGAGGCATGTCTCGTGACAGCGAACGAGGCATGTCTCGTGACAGCAAGGGAGGTATGTCTCGTGACAGCGAGCGAGGCATGTCTCGTGACAGCGAGCGAGGCATGTCTCGTGACAGCGAACGAGGCATGTCTCGTGACAGCAAGGGAGGTATGTTCGTGACAGCGAGCGAGGCATGTCTCATGACAGGCGAGCGAGGTATGTCTCGTGACAGCGAGCGAGGTATGTCTCGTGACAGCGAGCGAGATATGTCTCGTGACAGCGAACGAGGTATGTCTCGTGACAGCGAGCGAGGTATGTCTCGTGACAGCGAGCGAGATATGTCTCGTGACAGCGAGATGGAAGGTCTGTCTTAAGTGTCAATGGGTCTGTGTTGTTGTCTTATTTAAGTACTTATTAATGTTAACTTCCACACCAGGGTCACTTATACATGTCTAAAACACACTGCGGAGAAAAAAAGAAAATGTCACCTTGATAAAACGATGAAATATTTGTTAAATGTATATATATATATATATATATATATATATATATATATATATATATATAAAATTATTATATAATTTATATCTATTTTTATGAAATGAAAAGTTTTTCCTAAGTTATAAATCTGAATCTTGCAGATGTAGTGTTTTTGAAGGACAAGTCTTACAGACGTTATTACAAACACAGGTATGCAATTAATGACTTGTTGTACCTGGCAGTAACTCACATGACTTAAGAAATCGTAATGACACGATTGCAAATAAACCATACCCCCGGCCGGGATTGAACCCGCGGTCATAGAGTCTCAAAACTCCAGCCCGTCGCGTTACCCACTAGACCAGCTAGCCACAATAAGATTCACCCAACTAGGTATATTTCTACACCATAGGAAGGTTAGCACAGGCACCTCTGTGACCACAAATGCAAGTTTTTACAGACGAATCTCCAGCTAGCGTGGCCGTGACGAACGGGCTGGAGTTTTGAGACTCTATGACCGCGGGTTCAATCCCGGCCGGGGGTATGGTTTAGTAACTCACATCTCAAGACGAGCATCAACCCTAACAAAGATAAATTTAAGAGGGTAGTTTATTTTTTAACCTCGTATTCCTTTCACAGAATAGTAATAATGAGGAAAAGGTCACTCAGTACATTCACTTTTCCTCGTCAAAATAGGCCAGTGAGTATGAGTGCTCACGACCAGCATAAGTGAGTTTCTACCACTTAGCCAAGTGACAGAGCATAACTTCCGCTTGCCTGGGGTCTCGTTCTTACCCAGTTGGTTGAACTGGACAGTCTGCCAGAGTAGCAGAGACTCTAAATAAGCTGTTTCAGCCTAGTTGCCAGTTGGCTGGTCGAGAGACATGCCAGTAAGTGGGTGATAAACTCCAAATTGCAACGTACTCGGCAACAGATATAGTTGTTTTAAAACAGGACTGAAGTACACTAGGTGAAGGGGTGAAGGTCACTGGTTGAAGGGGTGAGGGATTATTGATTGAAGGACTGAAGGTCATTGGTTGAAGGAGTGAGGGGTTATTGGTTGAAGGAGTGAAGGTCACTAGTTGAAGGAGTGAGGGGTCATTGGTTGAAGGAGTGAAGGTCACTGGTTGAAGGAGTGAGGGGTCATTGGTTGAAGGAGTGAAACTCACTGGTTGAAGGAGTGAGGGGTCATTGGTTGAAGGAGTGAAGGTCACTGGTTGAAGGAGTGAAGGTCACTGGTTGAAGGAGTGAGTGGTCATTGGTTGAAGGAGTGAGGGTCACTGGTTGAAGGAGTGAAGGTCACTGGTTGAAGGAGTGAAGGTCACTGGTTGAAGATGATCATCACCACACTTCAAGTAAAATAAAATGTTATGAAGGTCCAGTTCACTGTTTACCTCAACATTCGTAGTAGCTTCAGACTCCTTTAGTGGTCTGCAGGCTATCCAAAAATTTGATCCTCCTCATCCCTCGTTCTTTGTATATAACTTCGTTTGTTTCGCATTTGTAGTAAAAACAAAGAAATCTTTTTCTGTTGGGTCGCTGGTCATGTTGATGTCCAGGGCAACGAGCAGGCAGACTAATGCATGGTCGGCTGTACATGACCTCCATGTTTCATATAGGGGTATTCCATTCTCAGACTATTTTGCTGTAATTTCTAGTCACCTTCGCAACCATTGATAACATTGTTGGTCTGAGCTGAATTCATAAATTATATTCCATCAAGCCATGTTTAGGATCCTGGTCTTCTTATCACTTGTGTCGTGGCTGGGAGACTATGATCTCCCTCACTGGGCACACACATCTCACTCATGGGTATTTCATGGAGAGGCGCCCAGTTCCGTTCTGTAGGAGTTGTCAGGTTCCAATTTCAGTTTGCTATATTCTATTGGACTGTTCTGTCTTTCAATGAGCACGCAGAATTTACCTTCTACGTCATCACCGCTCTAATACCCTTACTTTATCTTCCCTTCTGGATGACGCCGCACATTTTATACAGACTCCCTCTTTGAATTTTTGTCAACAAATTTATTACACCAACTTTTGTTACGTTTCCCCTTTATCAGTCCTCAGTAACCTTACTAACTCTTCCTCTTGCATACTTCTTCCCCCTCTCTGGTCTCTGATCTTCGCATATTACATCTTTAGCACATCCTCCCCTGAAGCTCTGTATGGCCCTTGTGGGTTTAGCACTAAGTTTTGATTGCAATATTAATAACTGAAGGTCAGGTCAGACCATATCATAAGTGTGTGTGTAGTAGTGTGGTGGGGGCAGACAAGTACCGTTGCTGTGGTCGGAGGAGAGGCAAGTGCCGTTGCTGTGGTCGGAGGAGAGGCAAGTGCCGTTGCTGTGGTCGGAGAGAGGCAAGTACGTTGCTGTGGTCGGAGGAGAGGCAAGTACCGTTGCTGTGGTCGGAGGAGAGGCAAGTACCGTTGCTGTGGTCGGAGGAGAGGCAAGTGCCGTTGCTGTGGTCGGAGGAGAGGCAAGTACCGTTGCTGTGGTCGGAGGAGAGGCAAGTACCGTTGCTGTGGTCGGAGGAGGCAAGTACGTTGCTGTGGTCGGAGGAAGAGGCAAGTGCCGTTGCTGTGGTCGGGGAGAGGCAAGTACCGTTGCTGTGGTCGGAGGAGAGGCAAGTACCGTTGCTGTGGTCGGAGGAGAGGCAAGTACTGTTGCTGTGGTCGGAGGAGAGGCAAGTACCGTTGCTGTGGTCGGAGGAGAGGCAAGTA